ATGTTTTCCCATAGCACACCATTTGCAATGCAACCACTTTGCATTTGCTTATAAAATCACATATATATCAAAATAAAGATCTTCTTGTAATAGAAACTTGGTCTACTAAGTAAATCCATCAAAACCACACACCATAACCAAGTTTCCTAGCCACAAGTCTGCAAACAGACAAAAATTCATACACAAGCACACAATCCACACATATTCACACATACATACATAATCATATCCTATTGGCACCCTAATCTTAAATACATTACAATATATTTGCTCAAAAGAAAGGGGTTGCAGTTCTTTACAAATCACAAGCAAACCCCTAGCTTTGCTCTTTTCCCCGTCCACCACTGGATCCTTCGCCTGGACCTAGAATATTGAAAAGAAAGGGGTGAGACAACCACAGTCTCAGTAACAGTGAAATCTATATTAATTATTACAAAGTAAGCCATAATTAAATAAATGAATAATAAATTCAACATAGTATATAATTTAGCCATTTAAAATGCATGAATGCATGACCTAGGACGGTATGGCCTTTCATGACCAACAGAATGCCCCCTGGCACTCTTTAACTCGCAGGTAAACCTTATACCTACTTGTACCTCCACAGGCACAAAACATAATCTAAGGCATGATCTAATCCACCGAACCGCCTATGCCCCTTCGACGTGAATCCTGAGCAGTCAAAGCTAACTCCCTCCCAGAGCCAGCCCGACTTACTCTCCATGTGAGGGCTACCTTGGCCTAGGCACTCAACCTCACACTTCATATGTCGGATTCCCTCCCTCACTGAGAGGTGTCGAACACTCAATACACTAACCACTTTAGTGCACTGAGCCCACAATACGTAAGACAACACTGAATACTGACAGTGTGCCATAGAATATCAAAAATTCACACCTTCTCATTGGTGAACTCCCACCGAGATCATGCCTTTTACTCTTGTCTACCTTTCCTGAGTATTGACCATTCAACACTCTAAAGTAGTATAATATTTATAAATCTCATTTCCATAAAAACATTGTTATTAAACAATTAGAAAACATATTTGCACTATAATCAAAGTAGTACCCCATAACCCCTTATAAAGCACATTTAATCTTTTAAAACATGTAATGCATGATAACTAGTAATATTTATTCAAAAATAGCTAAAACAAAGTAATAAGAAATATAAATTCCCCTGTTACCTCAACCCTTTGGTACTAAAAGGGTTCCCCTTGTACAAAATAGGGCTCGGCTTGTTCCTTACTTCTCAATAAGTTCCACCAACAATTTTCTACAACATATAAGTGATCCACATCACTTATCATGACAAATAGTATTAATGAAGACTATAACTTATACCACACAACTTAGGTCAATGAGTCATAATCCACCCTAATGGTCCATATATTAAACCAACTATTCACATAGTATCACTTAACCACCAAAACCATTTATTAGCCATCACTAGGCTAATTTTCAATTTATATAATTTTTTTAATCAATTAAAAACCTTTACTTAGTGCCACCAACTTTCACCATTAGCCCTTATAATGAAAACCAAACCTTAATTTAAATTTTATTGGGCTCAAATAGCAAAATTATAACTAAATCAATAGGCTTAAACCATTGAGGAGCAAAAACCCAATTTCTCAAGGTTTATTTTGTGCCCAAAACACCTCTTTTCATCCAATTATTCACTCAAAACATTAGATCACTATATAGAAACTCAAAACATGCTCCCTAGAATCCAAAGAAACAAAAGCTTACAAGAATAAAGCCTTTGGGATCAAAATCCAAAAATTTCCTCTTCCAAAAATTGAAGAAAATCAAGAGAAAGAGAAGAGGATTGAAGTAGGGAGTTTACCTATCGTGTAGCCGAGCTCGCAACGGTCGCAAAGACTCCTAGATCCAAGCCTAACTCCCTCCCTTTCTCTTCTCTTCTTCCTCTCTCTCTCTCCCGTTTGTGCGTTTGCTTCCTTTCTCATTTTCTCTGCGTTTCTGCATCAGTTTGCTCCTTAAAATACTGGTCAAAAACTTTGGGGAAAATTACAAGAAAGGGCCCAACATTTTTTATTATTGCACAAAAGCCCGGGTCAACTTTGGTAATTTTTCCCATAGTTAAAAATCAAATAAAACCAAACTTTTGCTTAGTAAAATTCGAACTCTGGGCCTCTATTAAATTATTCTAAATTTTAATTTAATTATAGATATTTTATTTTATTTTTATTTATTTTTTTTAAATAAATTTGAGTCTTAAAATTTTTAGGATGTTACACTTCCCAAAGATAGTTTTATCCCTCCTCTTTCAAACGGCTCTCATAAAACTTAAATATGACCTCTTTCTTGTGAACTAACATGATCCCTCTCTATTTTAGTTAGTAAAACTCATAATGGGCTTTAAAATTGGCCTTTATCCATATAAAAAAGGGAGCCAAAACCCAATAGATCTCTCCTCACACTATGCATTGTATTTAACGTGAATTTATTTTTAATAAATTGGCTAATAATAAAAATTTAAGTTTATATCTTCAAAATTATTGGGAGAAATAAGAAAGATTGACATTTTAAGAAAATGTTCACTGACAAATAATCTCAAATGGGATTTCATCTGAAGCTTTTTATGAAATTAATTTTAAAGAGTTATCCCATCATATCTAACATATATGTAGATACATTACATGCGTGTGTAAGCAAATAAAGAATCTAGTAAGGTAGTAAAAGACATCACTTGAGTTAGACAAGTCTATTAATTAATCAAAGTAATTTTAAAAGATACATGTGATAGCACTATAAAAAAACAGCTAATTGGTGACAGAATTTTCCATCACTAATTAGTGAAAATTCCATCGCTAAATGGATTAGCGACAGAATATTTTCATTGATAAAAACACCATCGCTAATTCATTAGCAACAGAATTTACAATTCCGTCACTAATTTTCAACGGAATAGCGATGGAAATTTTCTGTCACTAAATAAGGATAAAGTTATTCTAACTTTGTGACAGAATGCATTCTGTTGCTAATTTTTCAACAAGCTTATTCCGTTGCAAATTTATTAGGTGGATCAAAATATCATTGCCATATCACTCGGTGGACTAGTGCCACCTTACCACCACCTAGTCACTCAGTGGACCAGTGCCACCTCACTGCCATGTCACTGCCACGTCTTAGTCACCCAGTAGACTAGTGTCACGTCACTGCCACGTCATTTGTCATTGCCATGTCAAATATTATTACCTTCAATTGTGAATTGGCTAGGTTCGAACTTGCAAACTCAAACTTGCATGTGCCTTTGCGTCTACTTGTTGCCAGTTGAGCTGAAAGAAATCTTCAGTCTTAATTGATAAATTAAATATATAATACTTAACCACACACACATATATTAATAAATATAATATTTAAATTTATTTATTTTTTAAAATTATATTTATTTATTAATGTGGACAAATTAATTTTTATATAATAATTATTTCTATTATATTTTATTTAAAAAATTATTTTTGATAATAAATTTAATACTAAATTGAAAATATTTTATTATCTTTATATATTATATTATAATTTGTATCTATATAATATATAATATTTTAAATTTTTTTTATTTTTATTTTTAAATAAGAATAATTAAATATACAATTTAAATTATTATTAATAATACAAATAATTTAAAATAATAAATTATTTTAAAGTTTAATTTTTAAATTATTTATTTATAGCATAATAATAAATTATTAAATAAATTATATATAAATATATATCTATATATATATTATAAATAATAAAATTAAATTACAAATAATTTGTAATGGAATTAGTGACGGAACTATGACAGAAAGCCTTGTGACAGAATTTTCCATTGCAAATTTTATCACTAAATTGGAATAAGATATCCTAACTATTAGCGACAAAATTTTCCGTCATAAATTCCGTCACTAAATCAGAATAAGATATCCTAACCATTAGCGATAAAATTTTTCATCGGTAAATTCCGTCGGTAAATTATTTCTAACAGATTAGTGATAGAATAATGATAAAATTTTAAAGACAGAACATTTCTTCACTAAATTAGCGATGGAATTAGCTATGGATTAGTGATGGAACTTTATTCCATTGCTAATCCACTATTTTTTTGTAGTGTAGTTAGATTTTTATAATATGTTTTTTTTAATGCAAGATTTCAAGAATATGTTATAATATGATACTATGGCAGATCTTAAATAGGCCTTAGCGGCGTAAGGTCATTTGGAGATTTATAGGCTCATTAAAATGTTGGAACGTAGAAGGATTGTGAAGATGAGTTTTTTCATCAATGAAACCATCTTATTGCAAGTTTATCTCAATTATTAATGTTATTTTTTAAGTTTAATTTTTATCAATATATATAGTCTTTTAAGTTTTTTAAATTTATTTATTGCATTGGTCCTTTAAATTTTAAAACACTAAATGACTCTCAAATATATGAAAACAAAAGTGCATGTTTGGCCCTTTAATTTTATATAAGGTTTCATTTTGATCCCTTAGTATAGCTGAATGAAAATAAATTAAATTTTAAATTAATTTAATTTTTACTAATTTAGTTCCTTATGCTTCATTTTGTTCTTTTACTTTTTTTTAGAATTTCTAAGTTCATTTTTTTACTTAAATAATTACATTTTTTATTAATTTACATAGCTATCAACAATATTATGTTATTCATGTCAACAGATTATTTTAACAATATTACCTCCTTTTTAAACAATGGGGGTTAGATCAATAATTCCTACAAAATATATTTAAGGCACTAAATGATAAAAGTTAAACTTAAAAGATTAAATTAATAATTAAGATAAATTTAAAAGATTAAAAGTTTTATTTTGTCTATTTTTTATTTAAAGAATATTAGACCAATGAGATCATGCAAAGAATCAATGATATTCTTTTGCAAAGAATCTTACTTTTAAAAAACTTAAGTCAAGAATATTTTGTGTGCTAACATTTCCTTTTTTACTATCGATTTCTCCATGTAGGTCTAATCAACAGAAAACTTACATCGTGGCTCTAAGTTCTGACATCACCAACTTCTCAAGCCCAAGAACCTCATAGGTATGTATGATCAAGGGTATTTATGCTTGTCCCATCCCAATTAGCCCAGTGTTTTCAATCATGTTAAGATGGATCTATCACGTTCTTAAAAAATAAGATAGGACAAAGTGATGTTTTGAATAGAATGAAACATAATATCACTATTGGGACATCCCATCTAGTCCTAAATATATTATTATATTTTTTATTTTTATTTTTTAATGTTTAATATTTTGTTTATTCAATTAGAGTCAAAGTATATATTTTTTTATTTGCTTATTTTATGTTCTTTTTACATAAGTTATATGACTCAATGATTCTATTATTGTTATAATATTTATAGTTAGAGAGTTATTTTTGTTGTTATTATGCATTTGATTTTAAATTGTGGTTGTTATTATTTTATTGTTTTACTTTAAATTGTAGTTATTGTAACTCAATTATTGAATTTATATATTTGTATTGTTTTGATTCGAGACTTAACAAACTATAAAAAAAGGGATCTAATTTTCTTTCCTGTTCTTTTCACTAGTGGGTGGGTATAGCATACATGCTACATTAGATATCTAAGAATATACATCAGTAGACTTTAGACACTGACACGCGCACGTGATTTGGGTAAATCTTCTTGGCTTGTTTAAATATACAAAAGGTAAGCTCATCTTCACCTAACAAAAAAAAAATGAAAAGAAGATTGACTCCAAATTTTAAAAGATAAATTAAAGGGAAAAAAATTGCAGGACCGAAAGAGAAAATATAAAAAAGAAGTGTCATACATTATCATGTGTGTGTTTGGTCTAGTGTCCTCTATGTTAAACTACATAGTTCAAGTCATATTCAACACGTGCGTTTTCAAGTTGTATTATTTAATTAAATCGTGCTAGTATATTTTGCTAAAAGTAATATTATCATCAGCCATAGGACTTATTTAAAAATCATCGTATTCTTTCTTTATTAATGTCCTATATCTTTAATATTTCTGAATTCACATACATAATTCTCAAAAGGGTGTCATTTCCTAAAGACATTCCAAGAGAGTTCTTAATTTATAGTGTTTGCTCCTCTAGTATTATTTATGAGATAGAAGAAGTATTTTTTTTATTTTATTTATAAAGCATCAAAATGAGTATTTGTTAAAGGGTGATAAGGTTATTAAATGCTAGTATATTTTATTTTTAAAATATTATTTAAAGGGGTAAATTTGGAAATTTGTTGATCATTTTTAGATTGAAAATGAGGTTTAATTTTTTTTTCAATAAAAATGCTAGAAGTAATTTATAAATAGGAATAGAGGAAATATGTTTCTTACATGTACGAATTATATTCAGATACTATAAAATTGATCTCACTAAGAATTCAATAATTCATATACTTATTCAAACTAATATTATATTATAGATTCATCTGTAACAAAGACGACCACGATGACATCATCATCATCAATCACATCAAAAATGATCTTGAAGCTTTTAGTTGACACAAAAACTGAGAGAGTTCTCTTTGCCGAAGCATCCAAAGACTTTGTCGACTTCCTCTTCAATCTCCACCGTCTGCCAATCGGCACCATCACATACCTCCTAACCAAAACCAACATGGTTGGCTCCTTAGGAAAACTTTATGAAAGCATTGAAAATCTCAGCAACACATACTTACTGCAACAGAACCAAGACAAAGACATCTTGCTAAAGCCAAAAAACCTAATCCCTCCTGGCTTCCTCTTACTACCAGATTACGAAGGGGACATTGAAGAAGAAGAAGAGGAAGAAGAGGAGGAGGAGGGGGAGGAGGAGGAGGAGGAAGAGGAAGAGGAAGAAGATAGGGAAGGCGATCCTCCTATGTACAGAATTAAGCGTCTGTACAATGTGACTTTAGTTAAGAACAATCTATGTTCGAATTGCAATCCTAAGCTGTACATGTGCAGGAATAGGTGTCCGTACAATGTAACTCTGGTTAAGAACACTCGGTGTTCAAATTGCTATGGTACTATGAACTATTCTGTGACATATGTGGGGAAGAAGGAGATGGAAGTGGAAGGTTGTGGTAGGAAGGATGGGTTTGTAAAAGAAGCTGTGATGTATATGGTGATGGATGATCTTGTGGTTCAACCTATGTCTCCTATCTCATGTATCACTTTGCTCAGCAAGTTCAACATTAAAGATGCTAGTTCACTACAAGAAATGGTTGTTGAGTTTGGAATCCAGGAGGTGATTTTGTTATGTTTGTGTGTGTTTGTGTGTGTGTGTGTGTTTGTGTTTTGTGTCCCTAATCATCCCTTATTTACCAGGGTATCCAACTGTTGAAGGCTTCTCTACAGTGCAACAATGCTTTGACAAGTGTTTTCCTCAAGGATATCAAGTTTAAGAAAGGATCAAATATGATCCTTCATTAATATGCCATTGTGTGTGTATTAAATAGTATTACCTTTTTTATTCTATTTAATTGTTCTTTGTCATGGATAATTACATAGTTATGCTTATCAAATATAAATTAGAATGGATGTGAATAATAAACGAGGGTGACTTGAAGTTATCATGTGTATTCCTTAGTCCCTATAGTATAATACTTTAATTTGTGCTTTGAGAAATTGGTTACTTTTTCATATTGGCTTCTTACAAAAGACTACTATAAGTATTGCTATTCTGGAAAAAGTTTTGTGTAACTATCAAATATGGTGTAACTTACTTGACAGTTATTGCGAGAAAAACCAGAAAGATTCATCATTTTGAAGAAATTTTCACTAACTATAGAGCATCATAATAAAAAGGAAAGAAATAAAAATACATAGTATATCGATCTACCTCTAATATAATTAGATTCTCAAATGAGATTATCTAAGATTTTTTCTAGAGTTAATTATGGCAAATAAATTTTAATAGTTATCCATCATATCCAATATATTTGTACATCCAGCCGCAAAGCCACCTTATGGTGAAGGGTCCAAATACATTCTCTCATTTTGAAAAAAAAATTATAAAATATAAGGAAAACATAATTTTAGGTCTTTACACTTTATTTGAATTTTGCTATAGATCCTTGCACTTTTTTTTGATATTTTAGGTTCCTACATTTTCGTTTTATGATGTTCTAAGTTTCTTCATGAAAGGTGTTATAAGGACATAGAACACTGAAAAATAAAAGTGTAGGAACCCAGAACATTGAAAAAGTACATAAACTTATAGCAAAACTTGAACAAAGTGCAGAGATCTAAAGTTATGTTTTTCCTAAAATTTATAGGGTATGTAAATTTTACAACTTTGCATTTTTTGGTTTGGGTCTTGACTCTATCACTATGTAAATCTATATGTGTGTATATGCAAATAAAGAATCTATAGTAAGAGACGTCACTTGAGTTAGGCAAGTCTATTAAATTGAAGTAATTTAAAGGAGATAGGTGAGTTAGAATTTTTAGAAAACTGAGATTCACTAGCCTAGGCCATGATAATGTTGGAAGGATTGTGCTAATGAGTTGACTCAGGGCCCTAAAACATCCAAGGACTCAACGAAGGGGTTAATACATCTTACTATGATCAAATGGGATATTAAAGCTAGGTCTAGCACTACGCTATTACCATTATGATACAACAACAATAACAGCAATAGCAACAAGCTTTATCCTATTGAGTAGGATCGGCTACATGAATTGCATGATGTCATTGTACTATATCATCAATCAATTTTTTGAGAATATTATTAATTAAGAAGTCTCATTCAACTACTTGATCAATATGTTTTTTCTTTAGTCTTCCTCTACTTTACAGGACTCAAGATTATCTATTTCACTCTTCTCACAAATGCCTCCCACGGCCTTTTCTATACATGTTTGAATCATCTCAAATGATTTTTCATACTATTTTCCCTATAATAGATGCCATGCCTATGTTTATAGCCAATCCAAACCCGAATAAAGAAGAAGGGTTGTATTAGGTCATTGATAGCTAATGTAAAACTAATTTGTCGAATCTTACTTGGATATTATACCATTATGAAAATAACTCTTACATAAGAAAACAAATCAACAATCCAATCGTTGAAAATAACATACTATATGTTACAAACTAACCAATAAACTTTTAGCTTAATCCAATGGTTAATGATTCTGCAAATGCAAATTTATCGAGATAGCCATGTGAATATGTGAAGATATTTTATCTTTTCCTCTCTCTCAAATGGCTCCACCTAAAACTTAAATATAACTTCTCTCTCATGACCTAATTTTTTCCCTCTCTACTTTAGTTAGTGGAACTCATAACAAACTTCAATATTGGGCTTTTATCCACATAGTAAGAGAGCCAAAACTTAACTAGATCTCATATTTCTTTTTAAAAAATTGGTTAATAATAAAAATTTAGGTTTTTTTACAAAAATAAAAATTTATGTTTATATCTTCAAAAATCTAAAATGGGATTTATCTAAAACATTTTATGAAATCAATTAGAGCAAATTAGTTTCAAATAGTTATCCCATTATATCTAACATATATGTATATACATCATATGCGTGTGTTTGCAAATAAAGAATCTAGTAATGTAGTAAGAGACGTCACTTGAGTTAGATAAGTCTATTAATTAATCAAATTAACTTTAAAGGGCATAAGTGAGCTAGATTTTTATAATACGATTTTTTTTATACAAGATTTCAAGAATATGTTATAATACAATACTATGACAGATCTAAAATGGGCCTTGGTGGTAAGGTCAGAAGGAGATTCACTAGTCCATAATAAATGTGGTGTTAAGATTCCTACTGCAGGACGGACTTTTAACAACAGTTATTTTAACCTTTTAACGTCAGTTATTAAGGGGAAGTGAAAAAATGTGAAGCGAAAAGTAAATATTTAACATCAGTTAATTAATGGACATTAAAAAGACTTTTAACATTGGTTACATTGATAATAGACGTTGAAACTATATAAAAAAATTCAATTTTTTTTAAAATTAGACTTTTAACCATGGTTCTTCAAGAACCGTTGTTAAAAGCTTTTTTTAATAATAGTTTTTTGATAATAACCATGGTTAAAAAGATTTTTAACCACGGTTCTTGAAGAACAGTGGTTAAAAGTCTTTTTTTTTTAAATTTCCTACAATTCCACAACTAAAAAAGGTGAAAATGATATATATTATAAATAGCCAGCCAGCACAACTACCATTAATATACGACAAGTTACAACTACATTATATATTTCTTCAACTACTAAAAACTATAAAATTATGTTCAATCACTTTGAAAAGTATTCTTGGAGAAGTTGTTGAGCCAAAATATCTCGAATGCCATGGATTTCTTCTTCATTATAAGGCTTCATATTATCAAAAATCTAAACGATAAAATTAATCAGAATAATAATTTAAAGTAATTAAATACAAAAATTTGAACTAAAATAACAAAACCAAATACCTCTTGTGATCATTCAGTACTTCCAACTTGAATTATCTCATATATATAATGAATAACATAATATCCACATTCTGTGCTTCCTGGTTTCCTATGGCACTAAAATAAATGGAAATTTAAAATTAAACCAAAACATGCAAAGAATAATTTAATATGAAAGTTAGAGGTTTATACTTACATTTGGGTAAATCCATTCCATTGATAATTTTGGCTTGTGTTCCCCAAATGTAAGCATATAATATGTCTCAAGTGTACTATTATCATTTATAAATGAAAAAACATTACAAAAGTATAAATATATTTAAAAGTAAAATTTTATATGGATAAAAGCTTACTTATTGAAAATCCATATCAACTTGTTGCTTAGTGTTCTACCCAGAGAATAAAACCAATATACTACACCTTGATTTAGATAAATAACACAAAGTGACTAATGGTAGCTACAGCATATAAAAATTTATATGAGCATTAGATAACACGAATACACACACACACACACACACGAATACACATTCATGAATAAAAAAAATACTTTCCCATCAATAATTGGTGCTAGATAACATGGCATTTTCATGTCTGACATATGATTCATCACATATGTCATCCTTCTATGTACTATGTTGTGAGCTTTCTGCACAGCTTTCGGACACAAAAATCTAAATATATTTTGTTTTCCCATTGCATAGCAAATATTATAGAGGTACCTATCATTGAAATGAGATCAAAATGTTAGTGGTCTGAAAATAAAATGAACTAAAAAAATAGACGAAAAAATTACAAGATTCTCAATTTAGCCTATGATATGTCTAGGTCCTTTAAATTTAAGAACTCTTTCAGATCTGTCTTGTCAAATCCAAAATCATATCCCCTTTAAATACCCATGACTCCAAGTGGCATTTTAATAGTAACGCCTTCTGTCATATGTTTGTAAATTTCATGCAATTGTGCCAAGCAGGGAAATTTAACAGCATTTATAGGTTCCTATTAAAACATAAAATGAAAGAGTTACATAAGTAATTAAATAACTTAAAGAAAATAACATAATGTTAACTTATTTTTTACCTTTAACGATGTTGTATTGATATCTGACATAAGATTTTTAGGCCATATAATGAAAGAACCTTTTGGTTGGCCTATTGTTGTAAACTCAAAAGTGGGAGATGGCAATTGTACATTATTCTCACCCTTTTGAACATGTGTAATTGTCACCCTAACTTAGTCCTCTTTAATCTTCTGGTGATAAATTGTAGACCCAAACTTGTATACTTGACTTTAAGCAACAACACATTTTTTTGGATTTTCTAGGTAAAGATAACAAGAAGTTCCTTCATTATCATCTGGTACGTGGGAATTAGAAATACAGATCTATGTCAAATTAAATTAAACACATGTTTATATTAAATTAAATTAAATAGTATAAACTTAAAGTGAATGATCAACTCTTGGAAATGTCATGCCAGTAACTATAGATTTCATCTCTTCATGAAGCTGGGCCATCATATCTTCCCAGAATGATTTATGAACTCTTACTTAACCTCTTGTCGAACCTCGACTCAAATCTCTTATCGAACCTTAGCTTGAGTATCTTCCTTAACCTTGGCTACCAACTGATAGATCTCATATCTGGATATACTTTCTGGAGAGCTTCGTGGAGTTGGTCCAAAGTATTGCTTGAGACCAACTACTCTACCGACCCTTTTAACTCGACCAAGATGTTCCAACTTTCTAATTGCAGTTGATAGAATGTCTATCCTTCCACTAAGAGTAAAGGAATCTCGAGTAGCTTGCTTCTCAAGCAAATCCTACAACATATGAGTTAAGTGTTTACTTAATCTTCAAAAACAATTAAAAGAAAAAATAAAAATATTTAACTAGTTATGATCTTTTCAGCAACTGCAGCAGCCTCTGGAGTGATATACTCCTTTTTCTTGATCCTCCCAGCCTTCCATTTTCTTTGATGTGTTAGGCGTGGTAAGGGCTGAACAACAATGGTGGGGTTTGATTTTGCTGCTTTCTCCATTTTCTTTTGATCTTACTCAATTAACTTTTGCTCAACTTTTAAATATCCCCCACGAGACATGCAATGAGGATATATATTTTATGATTGTATTACTTTATTTGCAGTGCTTAATTTCTGTGCAGATGAAA